TAACCGGTTACTCGCTTATTCTTCCGATTGAGTACCTGGTTATTGGATGGTATTTTGTTATAGTTTCCGTATTTATTATTTATCTTATCCTTTTACATATTGACGGAAGTAGATATTAAATGTTACATATATTTATTTACAAGTTCAAACCCAAAAACACAAAATCTTCATAGAATTTTGTTTTTAAATGTCACTTGAAACAGGGGATTTATTTCTGTTTAAGAAAATATTTTTATCGACTCCTGAAGAAGATATATGTCGCAATCGAGGAAAATTAACATACCCTGTAACACTAAATGCAATTACTGGTTATATTTGTTGAGTTTCATGCAAGTCACTGGTTACCGAATTATTTTTCAATCTTATATGTGATTTAGCATATTTGAAGTTCCACCCGTATACATCTCCAATTCACACTAGAATTTGAGTCAGCCGTTCTTTAACAATAATTCCACGCTTTAGATGTTGGCGGCGGCATCTTGTTAAAGACTTAAAGAATTTTCCTCTGACTAACACAGGTCTAAATGAGGTTAATTATTATAACTCACGTTTTCAAAACGTGTACCCTCTGGCAATTAAAGTCATCAATTAAACTACCGGTAATCAAAACAAATCGATCCTAATTTTGAACCTCTAGAGCAAGCTTAACGGTAATCAAATTAAGTAAATTTGTCAATATACATTTAAAAATAACAAAAAAATATTTTATACGTATTTACTTTAAGAAATGTATTTTTATCCGTCTTATACCGAATAGCAGTTTTACTAACCGATACTTGCATCGTTCGACGGTTAACTGGGTACTCGTTGCCAACACTATCAAAAATGTAAAAAAAATTAAGTTTCTAAGGGGGGATTACATGTTATACACAATTTTGTGTAAATACATGCAAAGTTAAATGTGATACATGCAGATGAACTAAATTTTAACATTAATTTACAAACAAATCCTAATTAAGTATTAAGTTGAAACAATTAAAATTACATGATGCTGAAGTTCTGTATGTCTTGTCAGTAGGTCTAAGGGAAATAACTCTATTAAGTACTCTCATGCTCTTCTACCTGTTGACTGTTTCATGCAAATAAACCATTGTGACCTTACCTGGGCTGGCTAACCAAAATTCCCACAGACTTCTACACTTGGGGAAAACAGCTGAGATGTGGAATAAAGTTGTCTCACTGCACCAGCTACAGACACCCCGCTGTGATGGACCCCTCACGTGGGACATGGGGATAGGCGTGGTCTCACAAGTAGAATGGGACTCCACTGCACAAATTGCCTGTTTGTATCCCAGCGGTACAAGTTTTACGAGGAGGTTGAGAAGCTTCCACTCTGAATCATGGCCTCAGTCAAACTCCTATAGGTAATGATGAGACGAGGAAAATTCTTCTTTCGACCAACATTCCCCCTCCTTCTCGTAATTCCCTACAAAAAATGTCAAATAAAATTATGCCCATAAGAAGAAGGTATGGTTTTAGCTTTATTGCTCCCTAAAAATGTAATGACATCAAAAAGTTTTGAAAATGCCTAAATATTCGTTAAATAAATGACTCTTATATATCAGGAAAGAATATAGCATGAAGGTTTACCATTCTGCTTATATGACGTCATTAATGTGAAGCATTTCTCTATTTTCAACAGAAAAAGCCTGAAAATAGCACACTTCAAGGGTGATTTTCCTTTAGAAAACTGTGTCCATAGCTGTCGCCCACGTTAATTTTTTGATATTTTGTGAAAAATTTAAAATGAAATACAGCTAAAGTCACTTAAATGAGATAATTGACCATTGCTGACATATACTTACCTAATAAAAATGTACATGTGGGTTTCAGAGACTACAAATCATCCAGGCAGTTGCATCATGCACACCTATTAAAACAAGCATTCTGAGAGTATTGCATAAGCAATACATGTCCCCTACCAGGTTCCCCTTTTTCTTCAGGATGTCATTTTTTAATGTGCAAAAGTCATGTCCAAGGATAAACTGAAAGATTTTCAAGTTGTAAATGCGTTAAATCTAATAAAATAGTAAACATTAAAAGGAGACAATTCAACTCATTTATCCATGGTATATTTCCTCGCTTCATATTTTTGTCGACAATCGGAAGTTAGCGCAGTTCAAACCCGATCTAAATCTAAGGGGCATAACTTTGTCAATTATGGTGCGATCGTACCCAAAACAGAACTTGACCTAGAAATTCATCTGACTAATCTGTATACCAAATTTCACTTCAGTATGTGTAACGGTTATGAAGAAAATGAACGGAAACTAAATGGACCAAAAGACCGACGGACCGACGGACAGCAGCAAAGCAATATGCCCTCCCTTCGAAGGGGGGCATAAATATCACATATGAGTCAATTTTTTCATAAGGGTGGATTCCACCCAAAATTTTAATATAGCTACAGACTTTTATGCAAATCTAGCAAATAAGGCAAAATTTCAAGATTTCTAATTAGCAAACTTTTTGATGATAATGAAGAGTTTTTTGTTAATGTTTCTAGTACTGTGGATCACTAAATTTTCGTGACACCTTATTTTCGCGAAATAGTCAATGACTCTTTATAGGCGAGACATAATTTTCACGAATTGCTGTTTTTACTCTATACAATCATAAGGAATACTTTAAAACGCGAGAATGAAATTTCCGCTAGCTCATTGTCTCGCGTATTTACACGAAAATAAAGTTCTCGCGAATAAAACGTGATTTACAGTATACTACATGATCTTTATCTGGTCCTCCCTGCTGATTAAGTATGTGAGAAAAGTTTCATCATCTCCTCTCTAATGGAAATTGGAGATATAGCAGGTGCCCCCCATCTGAAAACCCCAAATTTTGATAACACATTACAGTTCAGTCTCTGAAGCCTTAAACAGCACTGACCATTTATCATTTTTTGGTAATTTGAAGTTTAAACAAGGAGAATTAAAACCATGCCAAAGTGCAAAAAGGGTCATAACTATGGTTTCAAACTTCAAAATGTGCCCCATAATAAGGGAGTGAAAATTAATGATGTGAAAATTTTACCTGCATGGTACAACAGACTGTTCCAGCAGATGCATCAGATGGTTTCAGAAACTCCCGTAGCTGCAAAAGGGCAGGAAATGCTCATGCAGCCCATGTGCCACCATCTCCTTAGGCCTCTAGGAGACCGAAAGTTGAAAGCCCTCCAAAGTGCCTAAAGTCAAATTTTGTATAAAACATTTATAATTGAGCAATAGTTCATAAAAATTCTAACAAATCAAGTCTTACTTACCTTTAACATAACTAAATATGGGAAAAAATTGACCTTACTAGGGTGGGATACATATTACATACTATTACATGTAAATACATGCAAAATAAAATGTAATACATGTACATGCAGTTGAAAGTCATATAGGTACATAAGAAAAGAAATCAGAAGCATTCAGTCCAAAGAATTAAAGTTATATGATGTTTTAAAAAATTCCTATGTCTTGTCAGATAGTCTAAGGGAAGTAACTCAAATATGTGCTCTCATGCACTGTATACTGCCATCTATCTCAAGCCAGAAATACAGAGAGCCGAGCTCAATTACAGAGTAGAACAGATTTCTTACATGAATAACGTTTATATTCTGATGAAAAAATCATTTTAATACTATCAATTTAAATGATAAGACACTGACAGTGAGTTTTCAATCTTAAAACCATGGTCCGATTTTGTCAGAATCAGAATTAATCTGGTACCGCAGCTGAATGTAAACAAACAGGCCAGTCTGGTTCCCTCTCCTGCTTTACCTCGTATGTGTAACTACGGTTACACTGATTATCAAAAATCCTTATGCTAATGAACTATGTTCTTTGACTTATGAAGTTTTCAAAGTCATTACTATATACTTATGTTTATTTTATATAGATAAAACTTCATTATATTTTTGTTGCTTTTTATTGCTTTATTTAGCGTTTGTATATTACCTCAAAAGTGGTTGAGAGTAAGAACTATATTTTTGCACGTAACTTTAAAATGGTGACTATGGGGTCAACAACCTGCCTTGAACAAGATAACATAAGTCTGCAATTGCTCTTTAAGCAATAAGCCTGGCTAAAAATGATATATTTATCTAGATTGGCCAATCAAAATTCCCATTGACTGCTACACCTTGGGAAAACAGCCGAGATGTGGAATGAGGTGTCATCTCTCTCCACAAGCAAGGAAATCTGGGGTGCAATGGACCGCTTGAGTGGGATCTGGCATCAGAAGAGAGGCGTGGTCTGGGAAGCCGGATGAGCCTTCGATGTACTGTGTGTCTACATGTATCAAGGCGGTACAATCTGTATGAGGAGGTAGAGACCAAATCCCCAGGTAGGAAAGCTGCCACTGTTAACTATGGGCTTCAAGTTGGCCTTAGTCAAACTCCTATAGGCAATAATGGGGTGAGGAAATCCTTCTTTCTACCAACACTCCCCCTCCTACGCGAAAGTCACTACAAAAGACATCAAACAAAATTATGCCAATCATTGAAAACCTTAATGAGGCAGACATGAGTAACCGGTGTCGCCAGCTGGTGGATGTCAACACTCTAAGGGGAAGCGACTCCCTACATGCCATCCCCGTACAGTGCGATGAAATGTACAATAACCCATATCAAAAAATAATACAGAAAAGTATATTTTTAATATATTTTTAATACATTCATTTTTGTACTTTCTTAAAATAATACAGAAAAAATATATTATTTTCCTATCACAAAAAATTCAGTATATCATTTTTGTATTAAAATTTGACTTTGATTTTGTACGGTATATTATTTTTGTATTTTTTTGGACTTAGATTATTTTCAGTGTATTATTTTTGTATTTTTTTGGACTTAGATTATTTTCAGTGTATTATTTTTGTATTTTTTCAGGACTTATTTTTTTCCAGATGTATTTTTTCTGTATCAAATTTGAACTTAGTAATTTTACAGAAAAATCTATACAGTTAGACTGTATCATTTCTGTATTAAATTTGGACTTAATAATTTTACAGACAGTTTGTCTGTATTATTTTTATATCAAATTTAGACTTAGTAATTTTACAGAGTTTGTCTGTATTATTTTTATATTAAATTTGGACTTGGTAATTTTACAGAAAGACAGTCAGTATTTTTTGTATCAAATTTGATTTTAGTACATTTACAGAAAATTCCATATATTTGGTCTCTATTTCTTTTTGTTGTTAGGGGGGGGGGGGGTAAATTTAGACATATTTTCTATTTACATTTGTCTCTATGAACTTTAGAAATTTTAGAGAAATTCCTTGCAAAATGTCTGCTGCTTTTTTTATAAGTTTATAGCATACCCGGTACTTAGAAAATTATATATTTTTTTCAGGAATCTTGGTATCCAATTATATAGAACTTAGATAATTAATTGGTACAAAAATTTATGTTAATCTCAATCAGTGGTAATCCAGAGACATATTTCCGTCTTGGGCATGAAGATTTTACAGCGGGTTTACATTGACTTTTCAGCGGGTTTACATCTTTCACGTGTTTACATCTATCACACAACAGGTGGTCTTGCAGGCTAACAAATGATTGCATCATACTACAATTCAGAAATTACGTGATTTACCTGTGCACATGGAAAGTCCCAACTAGCTATTACCATGCATACGATGTTTTCTTCAGATTTTAGTATATATGTGCATTTTTTTCACTCAGAGAAGGAATCATATTCAAATTATCCTAAATAACTTTCAAGAAATGAGCTGACAATGTTCAAGTCTAGAAAGGGATGTGCAAGTAGTAGGTTTCCTAATTTAAATTATCAGTGTTTAGATATTTACACTAGAGAAAGTTGGCTGAAACATGTGCAAAAATTATTAAAAGTTTGGAAGTATTAATTTTTCTAACCTGCTTGGACTGTGTTATTTGTGTAGTAGTACAGTCAATTTAATTATTCTAGTAGTTGTAATGTAAGTTGTTTTCATTCAGATAAAATATCAGTTTTTCTTCAACTCTGTGTTTAATTCTACTCTCAGTTTAAAAAAAAAACGATCCTGATTTTAATTAGTTAATAATTTACAAGTTAATTATCTTTGATCTTGGGCTAATTCTTGCATAATCAATGCAATCAAATGACAGTTTCTCAAGTTAAATCTTCTACCCTGACAGCCTGAGGCATGTTAATTAGCCAGGTGGCTGTGTGCTTGTGTTCAAGCGTGAAGTGATTTCCTGTCGTGAATTCACACTTGGTTGCGTTATGTAAACAAGAGATTATCAGTATGCACTGAATAAACAGAACAGCTAAGGAATATTGCCTACACTGGGAATATTTATTAATTTTTTGTTAGGAATTAAAATAGGACATGGCGCCGAGAAAAGGGGGCATGGCTCTGTGCCTTGCTATTTTGCTTTAGATTTAACACTAAATTGACCCTTCTTCTTGAACTTTATGGTCTATTATACGGGTCAACTTGTATACTAGTGATTAAAAAAACAAAAACAAAACAATATGGCTGACCAGAAATCTTTCTCATCTGTAATCGGAAAATTTCTTAAAAACAAAAATAACGATTATAAGAAATGATTCCTAATAATTATTCTAGTAATTATCAAGGGTTTATTATATTGATTCCATATTACTTATTAGACTTCGTACATAAGTAAATTTCCTTAGACTGTTAAAAATATTTTATATTTAAAAATCGGCAATCTTCGTAAATAAGGAGCTATTTGATTGGTCAGATTTTAAAATTTTTCTTTGCTTTTCTCTGATTGGTTAACGGTAATTTACCCACGCCATTTTGAAAAATAGATCGACGAACCGAATTGAGAGAGTTGGTGATGTTTAATAAAATTTAGCTAATATTCGCCGATGAAATTGGTAGAAAATAGATGTTTAGCTACAGCATGTTAGCATGGATCACATTTATAAACAAAGAAAAGCGAAAACGGAAGGAGGTTGGCGTTTTTCAAGCATCATGCCCTGGCTTTCCTGGTGTAAACAACGCCATATGCGGTAAGAATTTACATAAAATAGCACAGTAGTTTCAATTTTTAAAATGTGAAATGTAGATTAATAAATGTTATCTTTTATAAACAATTTATAGTAGGTCAAATTAAATGCAGATATATTGGATTTGTGGCGAAAGAGAGTTTTGTAATGCTACTTTCTATCTTGAATTGTATGGATAATTACGGGCTTTCAATGGCAAATGATATTATTTACATGGACCAAAAATGACTTAAAATTAATTTCACCCTATCCCTCAGGCCTAAACATGGAATAATAACAGATAAAATCATCTTGGCATACAACCATTCAAATTTTGAAATGTGAAGGGGGGGGGGGGGGGGTAATCATTGCAACTAAACTTCATGGATTTATGGTTTAGCATACTTATAATTTATTTCAAAAATGACTTGAGAAGAAGGTGATAAGGAAAGATTTTTTTTGGCACAAACTAATTATTTTTTATATCAATATATGATGATCTGTATTTTCCTTGCCCAATATCACTTTAAGATTTCAAATCAAATGACCCCCCCCCCCCCATAAAGGGGGGGGGATAATGGCTCAATTTGTAGAATATTTTGCCATGAAAAATTCCAATCAGGTGTATTGGCAGTTTTATATTTTTATTTTTTAATGCTCTGTATTTCTACCTGTTCTGCAAAACATTTATCAGCATCATTACTTTTACAGTTTGAGTGCCTCTGCAGAGCCATAGAAGAAAAGCTGATTAGTTATACAGGAATAGGACACCCACCCACCCTCCCACCCTACCCCTTGAGGCATTACAGGTGTGTAACATTGACAATATCAGCTAATCATGTGAAGATTTCTTTTTGTGTGTGTCTGTGCATCTAATTTTGATACACCTCGGTACATTTTGATATTCTATTTTGTAGATTATGCAGGACCAAGCAGGATGACAGTGAGAAAACTGGAGATGTACTTCTTCAACAAAGTAAAGTGCTGTGCAAAAGAAACCCCAAAGCAGAGAGAAGATCTAGACTTTTGAATTCATATCTCATTATAAATGTACAATTTACAAAGACAATAAGATTGATAAAACATGACTTAGAAATGAGGACAATTGAAGAGTGAATACTGTATGTAAGACAGAAAAGATCAAGATAATTGCACAAAAAGTAACTAAATCAGTAATCTAAAGACATTTCTCTTTAAAATCTGATTGAAAGCTGCATTTAAGAAAAAGTTTTTCACGTTTTTAGTACTTTTCTAGGCACTGCTTTGTATTATTTAAAGCTTTTTTACGTACTTTTTGTCTATCATTCTTGTACCTTTTTTGAACTCCTAAATGTATTTTTTTTGTATTTTTCAGAATGTATTATTTTTAGATTTTTTTGTTTTAAATGCGATTTTAATACAGAAATAATAGACTGATACAAAATTAATACATTTTGTATTATTTTCCTATTTTTTTTTTCAAGGTGCTCCAAATAATACAGAAATAATAGACTGATACAAAATTAATACATTTTGTATTATTTTCCTATTTTAATTTTCAAGGTGCTCCAAATGATACAGAAATAATAGACTGATACAAAATTAATACATTTTGTATTATTTTCCTATTTTTTTTCAAGGTGCTCCAAATAATACAGAAATAATAGACTGATACAAAATTAATACATTTTGTATTATTTTCCTATTTTTTTCAAGGTGCTCCAAATAATACAGAAATAATAGACTGATACAAAATTAATACATTTTGTATTATTTTCCTATCTTTTTTGTTCAAGGTGCTCCAAATAATACAGAAAAAATACATCAAGTGTATTATTTTTGTATTTTTACTGAGAAATAAAGTATATTAAAAATATATTTTTTTGTGTTTCATTTCTAAGAAAGTGTATTATTTTTGACCTAATTTGGAACCAAGATAAAAAGGGTTCCAAATTTGGTCATTAAAAATATACTTTTTTTGTATTATTTTTGTATTATTTTAATCTATTATTTTTATATTTATTTTCGATATGGGAACCCCCTGTACTCGGGGATGGGTGAGACACCCTTCCAGTCATACAGTGAGATGGCATGTACAATAACCCCCTGTACTCGGGGGTGGGTGAGACACCCCTCCAGCCAGCGTCATAGACTGTATACTCATTGCCGAGAATGTCACAACAATACATCAGATAATTAAGAGCCATTCTCTGTAATGATTTGAAATTTTATATAGGAGCTGTGGCACGCATAGTTTCAGAATTTCTCCAAACTCTCTATGATAAAAGGCATTGATACCCTGAACTGAAATCAGGCGAAAATTGGTAGCTATGTTTTATAGTTACCATGGCAACATGTCTTAAAGTTCGAAAAAAGGCATTTTTTAACATATTTAGAGCCCCATAGTTAACATTTGCGGCAAAGCAAACAATTGTTAATGACTGTTTCCAAAAGTTGAAGGTAAGATATTTTAAATACATGAAAAAGATGTTTGGTAAAACAACTATAACATAGTTACAATGGTAACAAAGTATTCAAAAGTTTAAAAAAAATTTCACTGAATTTTATGAAGTCATACTCGTAAAAATGAAAAGCAATTATAGGTTGAAATATTACCAAATAATATTAAAAAAAGAGCCTTGAAACACATACCAAGAAAAAAATATGATATTTCATTTTGGTTGGCAATGGTTGCCACAGTTTTTATGCCCCAAAGAGCCTTCAAAGTAACACTATGTATGTTAAAAAATGATCCTATCTTTTAAAAAAAGCCATTTCCTAATAACAAACGATCAACTTTATAAGATGTTGGTGTGCTCCAAATTTTCTCATTTCAAAAAATTCAGATTAGATTCTTTAAATAGAGCGTTGCTATCGAAATAAGCAGAAAATATATCCTTAAAAACCTGAAAAATATTTTGTTTCCTTCGATACGTACCCTTAAATTTAGATTCCCAAAACTTTTATGATTGATATTTATCAACAGCTAACTTGACTTTTAATCTTGACTATCATCCAATCCCAAAGTGGATGCAAGAAGTTGGCACTGAGGATTTAATATAGATATAAAGTTAAAAAATCAAACATTTTCCCTTCTTGGTAACCATAGCAACAGTGTTGTTTTATTCATCAAATTTTATCAATATATGATATTAAACTTCAGTTCTCACAGATAAGACAATTCCAGTTGAGCTCTTTAATTTTTTTATTGATTAAATGGCAATTTAATTCCTAACTTTGTTTCCATTTTAACACTACAAAGTAGCAATAATACCCATTTTTTCTTATGGTTTTGGTGTTGCAAGGTCCTAAGGATGCATATTTGCCAGTCTTGAATTTTCGTGTTTTTCCTCAAGACAGTAGCATTAACCCAATCTTAGTTACTGGTTTTGCATGGTTACACTGTGTTACCATGGCAACCATAAAAGTTATTCATAGAATAATATTGCTTATACTTATATACTTAAGGTCAAACATTTTCATTGTTTTTCTTAAGGTCATACCGTCGCTGTAATATCAAAATGTCGTAAGTCGATTTTTGGAGGGAAATTTTTATTGCTATTTTGGAATCTGTAATATCGAATACATGTTCTGTCAAAACGTCAAGTCTGTAGGCCAATTAGAAAGTGAGATACAGACGTGTCATAAAAGCGCGTATGTCCTTTGGATGCATTTTATTTCTGACAAAAGGTCGTATGTCTTTGGGCACTGACAAAGATGTCACGGACAGTCTGATATCAAGGAAAAATTTTAGTAACTGCAATCAATTTATGAGGATGTTAATTCATAAAATACATTTTAGAGCGTTCTAATATCAGATTCGTATGCTTACAATACATTGCAAGGGTTTGTTTCTATGCTTTTCTGGAGATACGACACTGTACTGAAAAACATCCAGGACAGAAAGGAAAACACAAGACATGCGACATTTTGAAAAAAAATTGTTTTTTTTTCTCTCCTGAAAAGTTGGGATTTTTGACTTACGAGAATTTGATATTACAGCGACGATACGCAACATAGTTTGAACTTTTTTGGTTTCTTACCTGGACTTGAAGAGTTCCACTAAATGAAGGACCTGTGTGCAATATTTTTAATGTCTATATGTGGATTTGTACACCTATTTTAAAACTATTTTTGATAAATTAAAATCTGGAATTTGTGTTTTTTAATTTTTCTACATTTTTATTTGAATTATGCAAAAGTTTTCAAAATTCGATATCTTTTCCAAAACCTCTGGTAAGGCATGCTGATTTTTTGTCTATGAACATGTAATTATATTATAAGTTTAAATTTGGAATATCTTTGAAATCTATCAGTAGGTAAGGTACGTTGCGTGTGTCCTTAAGTCAATGATTGAGTTTTAGCATGGAACACCTACCATTAGTGAATATGAAGTGTTTTTCAGCATATTTCAGCATTTAAATGTGTTCTAAATGTACCCTTGGTTACCACTTACTTAGAGATATATTCTAAACAGTTTCTTCACAGTATAAGTGACATCAAGGTGTCGTGTTTTTGTTATAATGGTTTGATTGCTTCAAAAAAACTCTGTGATGATCCCTGCCTTGGAATGTTACCGGTACTTTCACAAGAAACTTTGCTGGTCGGGCGCACGATCCTAAGCTCCGAAGCCTCTGTGCAGGGGTTGGTCCCCCATCCCCACTGGTGGCCAAGTGGATCAGACCCTGAATAAAATACAAAATGAACATGAATTAAATAAATTGTATCAGAAAACTCAATTGTATAAACTTTATGAAAAACATCAGGAAGAAGTAAAATACATGAAAAACATGATGTTAGCTGAATCTCAAGCCCGAGGCAATAAAAGAAAGCCCTCTGAACACAATTATTGAAAAACAGGAAATTAACAAGTTAATATTCAAAAAATACATTTTAAATTACTTTAAAAAATGCATCTAGGATGGTGAGCCCCACAACAAAACCCCTGGTCCTTGCGGTGGATCCTCTCCTGGTTAGTTGCATGCGGCTCCAGAGTAAGACTTCTTATGGCAGAGATGACTGACTTCCAGGCCTAGGCAAACTGTGACCTAATCTGTCTCTTCTCTACCATAAGAGCTACCTGATGCACCCTCTCGACTGTACTGCCCTCCTCCGACCAATTTACCCTCATCTTCCCATACCCATTTCTTGCCCACCCCCCTGTCCAAAGCCTGCAACACCCCAATTTTTCACTTTTTGAGGCCATTTTCTCCTTCAAGGTCTCAAATATATCTGGCATTATTCTTAGCTTACTAAACACTTTGACTAAAATAGCTAAAGTAACTATTGTAAACTTAGCTAGATTCTCCTTAATGTTCTCTGTAGTGGGTAGAAATCTTGTGGTATTCCTCAGATTTCTAGTCCATCGCCTTAACCACTCATTCTCTTCATTAAGAAGCTCCACTGTATGTCGAGCCATATCTGTCATGCCTAAGGAATATATATTAACATGTATATGTTTGAAGGACAAAAAGTACACGGAAAAGGGAATTTCTCAAAGATAGACAATCTTCTGGGCTCAGACTTATAGAAGGGAGATTTATGCTCATTGAAATTACAACTTCTTAAAGTCGCTTGGTCCGATTCCAATCGCTAAAAATACATAATCAATTTTCTTCTTGAAAAATAATTGTCCATAAATTGTTTCAACTTTTGTCAAATTATATCCCCAAAGTCCTTTTCTTTTAAAAGATATCAAAATTCAAAAGTTAAAAAAATAATTTTTGTTAGGTCAGACAAAAAATAATCCTATGTTGATCATTGTTGATATTGCGTGAAATCACCTTCGAAAAATTAAATTTATCGCTTACATGTTTATCTCATGAAGAACACACCCGAGCATTTTTTTCACAACAAGTACATATATTACATTTACACGGACAATATTTAAGCTCCTTTAAAAAATCATTTAAAATATCTGATTTTCCTTTATTCTTCAAATATGTATATTAATATTAAGTACTATGGATTATATTCAATTAATTTCTTAATTTTGAAAAGATGTATTATGACTAAGGCTTCTAATAATAGAAAAGAAAATACTCGGGTTCGAATTATGTTCATTATTAGATATATCCGATAAACTTATTTTATTTCAAAATTGACTTCACAACAGAACTTAACTTCCGTCAGGAACTACTGTTTGTCAATAAGGTTTTTGATCTGCATTTTCCATGTAAGGATTGTTGTAATAAACTATAAAATCAATCTTATAATTTAATTTTACATATTATCTATGAAATGACATACTTTTATTGTGTAAGATAATAAGTGCTTGTTTCGGGTTAAGCGGCTTTAAGACTTAACTTTTGTTAGTTTACTACAGTAACACATTCATTCCAATGTCCATTCTAATTTATGTCTTTAAGATGGACTAGAAAGAGGGAGAAGACATCTTCTTTAAGGTCACAGTTTCATAAATACTGAAAGGATAAGTAAATAATGTTTTCCGCTGTCAAACTTAAGTACCGGTACTTTTTTCTGCATGGTATAAATTTACACTATATAGTTACAATGTCACAAATTTTCCACAGAAATTTATCTAAGTATACTTTACATAGATGCAAGGCGTATATAGTGACAGTCTAAGAAATCCACGTAATTTCAATCCGCTGATTAAATGGAAATCAAGATTCCACGGAATTATGACCCAATGGAAAAAAAGTATGTCTACAGTATTTTAAACTATAGTAATATCAACTGTGAACAGATAAAGTACCATTCTGTGGTTTTGGTATGCTAGCAGTTTTACATGGGGGGCCCTTTCGGGGCTTTAATTTCCTCCATGGTGGTATCAGGGCTTGGGCTTCCCTCGTTCTCACTATCAGTGTGGGGGTGGAATGGCAGGTGACAGAAACTCTCCCTGATCTCTCGGGTCAGGTCATTCCCTCCATCAGCCGCCTCCTTGTGTTGCTGTCCCTCGGCGAAAGCAAAAGGCCTCGTTCCAAAGTTTGCTATGATTCTTGTGTTCTAAAAAAATATACCCCAGTCAGCATACATACAGATATCAAGTTATGCAAAATCTGCTGTTATTTGAATCTCAGATAAATGAAAATAAAACATTGGAGAGAGGGGAAGGGCGTTATAAAACAGCACCTTTTATTAAATATGAACAACAGGATACATTCCACCCGACACATCACCCATGTAGGCATTGAGGCCGTGCCCGTTATACGTGAAGTAGACCCTCCCCCTGGGGTTCTGTCCCTGTACGGGGGACTCCCCTGTCCTCTCCCACCCTATACCCGCTATGTCCGCGGCATTCAGGGTGATGTCTAGTCTCACACTCCTACACTGCAGTAGACTGGCCCCACTGTAGTGGAGAGCCTTACCATTGCTACAGAACATTTATTGCTGATCACATTTTTTTGTCTTGAGAACAAAATTAACCAATCATACAGAGAGAAAAAATTCTCCCCTGAATTAAAGGCTACATGTTATGCAGATTTAAAACTATAGAAAAAAAAATTATACTGAAGGACTTACTTTAGGAAGAGGCATGTTCCTACAGGGTTAGTCCAGGCTCCATCTTTCTTGTCGGCCGACGGAGCGAAGCCAAACGAGATGACCGCTCCACTCTCCTCCTGACCATCTCCAAAAGAACAGATCTCCAGCTCCCAGTAAAACACTGGAGTCTGTATAAAAAATACAGAAATGGGGCAACTGTTTCTCTCTCAATATTTTTTGTTCAGTTTTGAATTAATGGGTTTCAAGTACACATAGAAATTTAAAGGAATATAGGTGAATTCTAACTTATGCTAAATATTAAAAGAATAAAGATTCAATTCTTTAATTTCAAGGCATTTATGCAATAGAAAATAGCTTTTACAGTATTTCCTCTGCTTTGCAGAGGAAGTATTTTTTAATCCAATATAACAGCATTCTTTGAGTTGTAATATAGAGGCATGTACATGAATATACAAATCTAATGAACTCTATGAAAGAATACTAGTATTTTTCCTGGTATTGCTCTACCTGTTGTGGAACTGGTTGGTTGGCGTATATCATGGTGCCCCAGGGTAATCAACTTCCTGTGCTGGGGTCACCAAGGAAGGTCACTCCAGTCATGGTATTCCTAAGAATACTGAGGCACGGACCGGGGGGGGGGGGGGGGGATCGATTGGCCTCCAGCAACATCTGATTCTGTACAAAACACAGTTTACAATTTTTAACTTGACAAAGTATTATACTATATATTTAATAAAGACTCATTTTTCAGATTCACAAACATTTTACCTCACTTATTTAATGATGCTGCGTTTGAATTTAAGATTGAGCTCTTTGTAAACAAAGCTTTACTTTAATTTTGCTTAATCCAGAAATTTTAAATTTTTAATCATTTCAACTTACTCACAGCCCGACTGTCAAGCTTGCTGGGTGGAGATGGAGGTTTAGCCCAATCCTTGCGTAGTAGCCTAAGTCTGTTGCAGTGGACTTCCAAAACAGTCTACTTCCTGTAATATAAAAATACATTTTTTAGTACATGTATAAAATGTCTCAGCTAATCATTTGTTAATAAAGATTTAGTGGGAAAAAAATGAAAAACAAGATTTGACAAACCTGATTTATTACAATCCTTTGCCAGGGACTTCAGAATATCAATAGTGGATCCACAATGCTGAATGATCTCCTTAGTGAACTCAATGTCCTGTAGATACTGAGCGAGCACCGTACAGACTTGGGTCTGTAGCTCGGCCACCACACGACACACCTGATTACTGAGACTGTTACCATCCCCTGTCACACAACACACCTGATTACTGAGACTGTTACCATCCCCTGTCACACGACACACCTGATTACTGAGACTGTTACCATCCCCTGTCACAAGACACACCTGATTACTGAGACTGTTACCATCCCCTGTCACACGACACACCTGATTACTGAGACTGTTACCATCCCCTGTCACACGACACACCTGATTACTGAGACTGTTACCATCCCCTGTCACACAACACACCTGATTACTGAGACTGTTACCATCCCCTGTCACACAACACACCTGATTACTGAGACTGTTACCATCCCCTGTCACACGATGCACCTGATTACTGAGACTGTTACCATCCCCTGTCACAGGCAGAGTCTGTTGGAGGGGGCAGGTCCCGTCGTCCTGGGGGAGCAGAATGGCTTTGATGGCTGTCACCAGGGACTCCCTCACTGACAAACTGGCAGACTTGTAGATCTGACACACTGGCAGACTTGTAGATCTGACACACTGGCAGACTTGTAGATCTGACACACTGGCACACTTGTAGATCTGGCACACTGGCAGACCTGTAGATCTGACACACTGGCAGACTGGTAGATCTGACACACTGGCAGACTTGTAGATCTGACACACTGGCAGACCTGTAGATCTGACACACTGGCAGACTTGTAGATCTGACACACTGGCAGACTTGTAGATCTGACACACTGGCAGACTTGTAGATCTGACACACTGGCAGACTTGTAGATCTGACACACTGGCAGACTTGTAGATCTGACACACTGGCAGACTTGTAGATCTGACACACTGGCAGACCTGTAGATCTGACACACTGGCAGACTGGTAGATCTGACACACTGGCAGACTTGTAGATCTGGCACACTGGCAGACTTGTAGATCTGACACACTGGCAGACTTGTAGATCTGGCACACTGGCAGACTTGTAGATCTGACACACTGGCAGACTTGTAGATCTGACACACTGGCAGACTTGTAGATCTGGCACACTGGCAGACTGGTACATCTGACACACTGGCAGACCTGTAGATCTGACACACTGGCAGACTTGTAGATCTGACACACTGGCAGACTTGTAGATCTGACACACTGGCAGACTTGTAGATCTGACACACTGGCAGACTTGTAGATCTGACACACTGGCAGACTTGTAGATCTGACACACTGGCAGACTTGTAGATCTGACACACTGGCACACTTGTAGATCTGACACACTGGCAGACCTGTAGATCTGACACACTGGCAGACTTGTAGATCTGACACACTGGCAGACTTGTAGATCTTGTAGATAAAAAAGGCCTTCAACATTTAACTTTATAATGTATTCAAAATCATCCAGTTTTCTGTCTGTCCGTCTGTCTGTAAACAATTTTTCAAAATGCTACTCTTCCTACAGTTTTGGTCTGATTTCAGTATAACTTGGCACACTAGTAGACTACACTTAGATACATAATTCTGTGTATTGGTTTTTGATTTCGATGAACGGTGTTGCCGTGGTTACTTAAAATAGAAATTTCTGTGAAATTCTTTAAAAATGCTACTCCTCCTATAGTTTTGATCTGATTTCAGTATAAGTTGGCAAACAAGTAGAATACACTAAGACACATAATTCTGTGTATCAGTTTTTGATTTCGATGAAGGGCGTTGCCGTGGTTACTAAACTTGAATCTTCATTACTTGAGGATGTTTCCATATCAAGATTATAAAAGCAAATTCAAAGAATTGTGGTCCTTTAATGCTTTCTGTGTTTTAGTGAATGGGATGCCATAATTTCTGGCAGATTATGTGTGTCAAATATGAACCCCTTTCATGTGTCAATTTTTGAAAATTAGGTCAAAGGGGAAAATTCATAGCATACTCAGAAATATTTTGTTTCCAGTAATGTACATGTCAAATATTAAAGTCCTACATCTCCTTTCAATCAATCGTCGGAAACCCACTGCTGATTACGCTTCGTTCCTCTCTCCATCACCCGTGGGTCCATTCATACCAATTCGCTCGTTCTCGTGAAT